AGGTAGCCTTCCGGCCCCGGGCACCAAGTTGTTGGTTTCATATTGAAGGCCAGCTTCGAGGTCGATAGGTAGAGCCATTTTGAAGTTGTAAGCTGGAGTGTACTGTAGATTTATATCAAACAATCACTGTTACCCTTAGCCCCACGGTGGGCGCCAAACTGTTTACCTGAAAAATCGGATAACATTAAATTTAGATATATTTCTAAGGGTATGCGAATCCCTTTGATACAAAATAACAATACATGTAGTTTTTCTATAAAATGAGAATGATGGACGGAAAGACTGAAATGAATTAGAAAAACGAGCACAATAAAATCTTAATATATCTTGGAGAACTTGCCTCTATTACAGTCTATCCCCCTTTTTATAGTAGAGGATAGCTGCTTTATCTATAACAACATAATAAAATAATGCATATAGTAGATGACCCATGATGGTTTATTTCTTCCTTGATTCTCGCCAAGATTCTCTCCCTCGGTACGGTTATAACGGCTCTTGTCTGCGAGCTTGGCACTGGCTCGAGCTCAGTGTTAGGTCGAAACCCCAGTCTTAGTTCGAGCTCGGTTCTGCCTTGGGCATCGATATTCGGGGCCCGTATCGATCGGTGTTGCCCCGTAGTTCGATTCAAATACGGGCTCGATAATGATATCAAGTTTTGCCGTTTATAGCACGAAGCTCGATGTCCCTACTTTAGAATTCGTCCGAGCTTGTCATGTGGATACCTTTCGATTGAAATATCATTGTCTCGACCGGCCATTATGACTGAGAATCGGTTTTGACCGTACACAATATGTCCAGGTGTAACGACGACCTTTGTATCCTAAATCAAGTAAGTTACAATAATTAAGACATTGAATGTATTTATCACAAAAGGTATTGTTGATAAGGTTACCCCTAAATTTTTTTGATGCACGTACTATTTCATTAAAATATCCTCTGACTAACCAGGGCATTTTTAATGTGTCATGCAATGTTTTTAGATTTGCCCATAGTGTAGAACGTGCTCCTAAATCATTTTATGCCGAAACTACAGAAAGAAGCAAAGTATTAGGGTTTGGTGGTACCTGGACTACAACGTGAATTTGTTGAGACGTGACTGTTACTTGGTCGAGATGTAGGAGTTCATCATGCCAAAGCAAAGCAATGCCTCCCGACTGTCCTTCCGCGGGTGCTTGTGCCATATTGGTAAAGCCAAATTCATCTCGAAGATGAGTATGAAAGTTGAAGGTGAGTTTCCAATAGTGCCACTAGTGTTGGCTCATGGTATTCGATCAAAGATCAAAAATTCCTTCGAAACTCTGGTTCCATTGCATGTTGAAGTGGTTGGTAGGTGTTGTGAGGGTGAAGATTTTCCTGTTGTTGATACAGTGGTGGCACTGGGGTAGTAATGGTAGTTGTTGAGTGTTGATGGTGGATGCATGTCCCATAGGTATTGTTGTAGAGGTCTACCCTCATCCTCATCCCCTACGTCACAATTTGAGCGACGTCCGTTGGATTTTGAATCATGATGATCATATTTTTGATGTTAATCTCCATCGTGAATGTTAATGCATATTCCTAAAGGCTCATTTCCAATTATGATTGAGGGTATGTTTGAATTGGTGGGTACTGGGATATGTATATTGGTGGTGGATGTTGTGAAGGTTGTTTTGAAGGTTGCATGGTGATGGTGTTCAAGATTATGGGGTGTTGTAACAGGTTTGTATTGATGTGGTCCTTCTATGTTGGAGGTTGAGGGGTAATCTGTTCATGGATGAGGATTGGAGGTGTATCTATCTCTTTACTTGTTGTAGTGATGTTGGAGTTGGAAATGGAGTTTAATGATGATGCGGCAGAGAAAGAAGTAATTTTAGAGGGTAATTGGTGCGGTTGATTAGATGTAGGTGGAGGTGATATAGCTGATGGAGTAGGGTGGGCACGTGATCCTTCTGTATGTGTAGCGTTGTGTGTGAGATGGGTTATAAAAGATAATGTGGTTGGGTTGGATGAATTATCATTTTGGAACTGGCCTGTCGCAGTAGGGGCTATAGGCATGGTATTGTGTGTTGTATTAGGGTGTAGAGAATCATGTATTTGTGTTGAGAAGGATTCATTTGTTGTATTTACTGACGTGGCGGTTAATGGTCCTGTGGCAGAGTTAGTTTCCACCTGGCTATTATTCACAAGGGTTATATTTAACATGGAGGAAGAATGTTGTTCAATGTGGGCAGTAAGTTAATGGTTTGAGGCTATACCTAGTGTGGGTATGGCAAAGGTAGGGATGGCTTTTGGGCTGGACGATGGGGTGTGCTTGAGTACTTGCTGAATTGGGCTTAAGCAATAGGAATTAGAGTCAAGCATGTAGGTGTCATCCATTTCTCCTAAGAGGTCTAATGTGGAATTATTAAAATATTTTGGAGGGGTAACGACATCTTTTCTATTATTTTTTGGGAGCAGGATTTGGGAGTTGTTCGTTAGAGAGATTACATGTGGGGACCATCTTAGCAGCCGTCGGAGCATTGATGTGATGTGTTATTGTTTGTCGTCTGGTACGTGGTAGCATAGGTCCTTTCCGTTTAGATGGACTTTGGGATTTATTTTTGGATGGGAAACTTACAATTTTTCAAGCTTTTGATTGTCTTCATTCTCATTGAGTAGATGAGTAATGGTGGTAGAGTTAGTTGTTGGATGGGGATGGCCGGGAGGTGTGCTTTGTGTGTGTTGTGGTGGTTGAAAGGTACATAAGGCTTTGTTATGTCCAAGCCTTCCATATAAGGTACAGAACATGTTGAGGCCCTCATGGAGAATTTGTTGGCAGTGCATACCAATAAAAATATGTATTTTCAGTGGTTGTTCCAAAGGTACCTCAATGCATATTCGTGCATATCGTCCCCTAGTGGTAGCAGACGTACAAGTATTAATCTTTAAAAGTGTGCCAATTTTTGATCCAACTCGTTGTAAGATGTTAAAATCATAAAATTCTGTGGGTAGTTCAGGTAGCCGGATCCAAATGGAGGAGTAGGTGAGTTGGGCAGCGGAGGCAATGAATTTAGGTTCCCATTTTCGGACGAAAACAAAATTATTAAAGATAAACCAAGGTTCGTTGTGTAGTACTTTATTCATATTTTCCTGTTTTTGGAATTTGATAAAAAAGAAATCTGATCCCAAATCTATGAGTAGTAGATCTTCAGCAGGTTGCCATGGGATACACAATTTTGTACGTAAAGTTTGGTGTCCCACTTTCTTCCAAACACTTTAATTATAACTGAAAATTTCCAAGGAGAGTATAGTCAAGTTTTATAAGAGGAGGATAACAGAATAAAAGTTTCTTGGTTTTGGTCGTTTGTTATTTCATCCAATAAGTCGATGTGTGAGTGGGTTGTGCGACAAGTACTTGATAAGTGATGGAATTGATTGTGTGAAAGCAGTAGTTGAACGAAGGTTTGTTTCTTCTTTAGGGAGGTATTGTTTTGTATTGTGAGGGTATCGATGTGCATGGTACTTAAAACAGGCGGTTCAAGCGGGGAATTTGTGATGTTCGTTGACATTTGTAGATTCAGCTGAACTGATTTTTTGAAAGAAAGCGGAGTTTGGAGGTAGTGTAGATGGAAAGAAATTTTTAGAGAGAGCTCTATGTCAAGTTGAGTAGTCTCAAACAAATTAAGATGATGGAATTAGTAATTTTATATATATACTAAAGTAAGATACATTGATCCTTAGATGGTCCATATTTAGATTATAGTCTAATTAATAGAGAATCTTACCTTTTGGCAAACAAAAGCAAAAAATAATGAGAACAAGACAATCTCACCCTTAATCTCCTCATTAATTCTTCATTATTCTAATGTTCCCATATTCCATCATTAATTCACATATACGTCAAACGCAAATCTCAAACTTATAATTATCATCATGTTCGGTGTTAATAATTACTATCCCCGCCATTTAGATGCTATTATTTGCTTATTACTTTATTTAATTTAAAGAAAGTATATTTTTTTATATTTAAAAATAATTTACTCTATTTTTTTTTAGTTTTTCCTTGACAACAGCCTCTACAATTGTAATGGACTAATAACCTATTTGCCCAAACTTCTAAAATCAGCTTATTTTGAAAAATATTTTTCTGAAAAGTGCTTTTGAGTAGAAGCAGTTTATTATATTGTTTGACCAAGTTTCTAAAATCAACTTATTTTGAGAGGTACTTTTTTCAAAAATATTTTTAGTGAGATTTAGTTTGTGTTTTAATTTGAAAAATACTTCTCATCAGCAATTAGTGTTTGACCAAATTTTTAAAAAGTGCTTTCTACTTCTCCAAAATTGCTTCTGCTTCTCCTCAAAAATATTTTTTTTCCTTCTAAAAGCTTTGCCAAACACAACTTTGGAAAAAAAATATGTTTTTTTTAAAAAAAGAAGTGCTTTTAGCCTTGGAGAAACTTGGCCAAAGAGGCTAATATATTTGACTAATCAATTTAAAAAGTACTTTTAAGAAACACTAATGTTTAACCAAACTTTTAAAAAGTGCTTCTAAATATATTTTAAAAGTGCTATTTAAAAAGTAATTTTGGGGAAAAATTATTTTTTTCAACTTCTCAAAAATAGCTTATGTTTCTACTTAATTTTTTTTTTCGCTTAAAAGCTTGGCCAAATATGCTAAAAAAAAAGAAACTTGGCCAAATAGACTATTAAAAAAAAAAAGGCCAAACAGGCTATAAATGTCATTCGAAAAATCTCTCTTTCGTGTTATTATCTTTTCTCCATTAGAGACAAAAATGACAACTGCCCTAATAAGAAGAATAAAAAGAACACAAAAGTCTAACGAATATATAGATTCCAACTTTCAGTCAAATATTTCAGCACAAAGTCATACTATAGTTTTCAACAGCACTGAAACAGGAAAAAAATAATAATTTAAATCAAAATAAAAAACTGGGGAAACTAATAGGGGGAAGAGTGCGAATTTTCAATTTTAAACATTGAGAGGAAACAAAAAAAAATTTAAACATTGAAAAGAAATAAAGGAAATAAAGGAAAATAAAAGAAAGAAGAGAAAACAGCATTAAATTTGCTTGCATATGCTGTTGAAGTTAAAAGGTTCCATAATTTCCGTTCACAATCAAATCAATGATGAACTAAAAATCCACCACCACCACCTACTCCTCTAAAACGTCGTCGTTCTTCCAGTTTTTCAGCACTCTGCTACTCCCATTTTAGAGTTCAATTCCAGTGAAGTTTTAGCCATTTTGGATAAAAAATAGTACTATCTCAATTTTGCAGTCAAAATTCACATATCTGAGGACAAAACAGTATCTGGGTTTTGCTCAAAGTTTCATTTTGCTATGAAAATTCACATATTCTTAAACTTCAAAGCAAAATAGTGTCTGGGTTGTGCTCAAAATTAAGTTGTCAGACCAATTTCACATTTTTTTTTAGCAAAACAGTATCTGGGTTTTGCACAAAAATTCCATTTTGCAGTTGAGATTCACATATATTCTTGAACTTTAAAGCAAACTAGAATCTGGGTTGTGCACAAAATTCGATTTTCACCAATTTCACGTATTTTTAAGCAAAACAGTTTCTGGGTTTTGACTTTGAGGCAAAATTGAATTTTGAGAAGATATGGGAAATCGATTTATTTGCATGATAAAGAAGGAAAATGAAAGGAATGGAGTAGGGTCAAGGAGTAAAAGAATGGAGAGATCAAAGAGGAGGTCATTAGTAGAAGAGGAGTTATTGCATCGACAAGCTTTGGCAATGGCAATTCAGCAGCATCAGTTGTCTCAAAGATTTGAGGGGTCAATGTCTAGACGTATTGGAGGATCCACTAGTTCTCGCCGTCGCACTGATTCTTCTGATCCCGCCCCCAATTTTAAGCAGCAGGTATATAATTTGTCAAGTTTTTTCCTTTATACAGTTGCTTTAGCTTTTCTTTTTTGTTCTTTTTTAGTATTGTAAGACTGGGTCTGAGAGGGATCTGGATGGAAAATTTGTTTAATTATTTTTTTGGTCTAGTTTAGTTCTGCTATGATGAGTTTGATGGGGTAGAGGTGGAAAAGTTAGCTTTTTTATCCCTTTTTCTTTTTTGTTTTGTTTTTGTATTTAGTAAAATTGATGGTAGAAATGATGTTTCTCTTTTTAGATTCTTGATATAATGTTGGTCTATTTCATTTTTGCTGTGATGGGTTTGATGTGCGGAACACTGATTCTATCTTTTTGTATTTTGTGGAATTGGTGGTAGAAATGATTGATAGTGTGAGAAAGTGTAAAATAAAAAGGGAAAGAAGAGAAAGGCACTTTTTGTTGCAAAAAGTAAAAACTTTATCCCCTTTCACCTTTTTCCCATTTTTGAAATCTTCTTTAGAAAGGTGGAGTAGAAAAGAAAGAACAAAGCAAACTCTCAGAACCTACCTTTCTTTTACGTTTTTTTTCTTCTTATTTTTGGTGATACGCTAGATTCATGTTTGTTAGATTCTTAATTAAGTATTTCCTCTGTGTTTTGTTTTTGTTTTTGGAATTTCCTTTGGTTCTGGAAGTGTAGGGTTGAATATTGCCCGGGCCAGAGGCGGAGTCAAGATTTGAACCTTATGGTTCGAGATTATAATTCTTTCAAGTTACTAGGTTCTAAATTAATAAGTTTTACATATCCAATGAATTTCTTAAAACAAATACATGGTTTGAACAAAAGCTACTGGGTCGGCCGAACCCGCATCCTGTGCTCTGCCTCTGCCCCGGGCCTGAAAAATCTTGGAACAATTTCTTTTTATATTAATTTATTGCATAGGCTGTAATTTTTCTTTGTGTATACTTTGATACGAGGACCCAAAAGCAAAAGCAATGTCCCTTTATTCTTGCTCTGTCACAGGAAATAGTAGCACTATTAGTATACCTGAGCAGATTATGTGAGTAGTTGCAATTCACATTATAGATAATGGGCAACTTTATATATAATTGCACCTTGCTTTGCCATTAGTCTACGGCAAAGGTTACCAGGAATAAAATTACTTCAGATTTCAGTGCACAGCTTATATATTATCTGTTAATTCTTAGATTATTGTTCTGCATTCTGTATTTTCACTAAATTATGTGATGTAAATAAAAACAACTTACAGGAAGAACAGAAATTAGATCTAGGTTGAGCAAGACAACTTTCTACGGGCTTTTACACAGCAGTTGTGAGAAAAGATAAAACGAAAATACTGAATATCATATCTTTTAGACACAAACAACTTATACATACTTTTGTTACCAGTAGGTGTTCGCAATGAAAACTTTTGACTTGATAAAAAATAGAATTCTCGATTTGTTTATTTAAAGTAGAAATATAGTTTTGTTGTAGCTAAATGCTAACTGGTTGTCGAAAATGGGAAATCTTGGCAGTGCATAATGTGTTTATTGTGCTTAACCAGGCTTAATGAAAGAAGAACAGTATATGCTTAGAATTTCATGTAAATTGATGAGGAAGTCGCGGGACTACACTTTCGTCAGATTGATGATACAATAACCTTCAACATCTTTTAGAAAAACTCCAGAATGTTCTCGTGTCACTCCTTTTTATTTATTTTATAAATTACATGTGTCACTATTTGTTGCCTTACAAATATTTATGCTGTAAAGTTACCAGAATGTTTGGAGAGCATCAAGACAAAGAAGTTCGTTTTGGTACATGGAGAAGGATTTGGAGCTTGGTGTTGGTACAAAAATATTGCTTTATTGGAGGAAACTGGATTGCTGCCCACGACCGTAGATCTCACTGGATCTGGGATTGATCTGACAGATACAAAAAATGTTACAACACTGGCGGAGTACTCAAAACCATTGATTGATTATCTGGAGAACTTGCCGGAGGATGAAAATGTATGAGCAGAATTCTTGTAGAATTTTAACTATGAAAGATTAACTTTGTATGTTAATCTAAAAATGATTTTGTGTCCTCCTTTAGGTAATTTTGGTAGGTCACAGTGTTGGAGGTGCTTGTGTTTGCTATGCTTTGGAGCTTTACCCACAGAAAATTGCCAAAGCAGTATTTCTTTGTGCTACAATGATATCTGATGGACAGAGGCCTTTTAATGTGTTTGCCGGAGAGGTACATATCCTATACGACCAAAAACGTAACAAATACTAGAAAAACGGTTGTTGACAACTTGTTGCTGATTTGCTAACCTGTTGAACAATTATGTTTTATTGCAATTCGTAGTTTTTAAAAGTACTTTTGTTTAGATGAAGTAGTCTAGAAGTACTTTGAGCAAAATAAAAATTGCTCCAGTGTGTATGTGGAAAAAGATACAGTTACCACACCATGAGTCGTCTCAAAATTGGTCCCGAGTTTGCAGTCATGGCTCCTGAAAGCACCATTTCATTTTGGTTGGGATTTCATAGAGTTGCTATACTATTTTTGTTGCTTAAAGTGCTAAAAATAATAAAGTTTGCAAAAGAAATACAGCAATGTATGTGGAACAAGGTCCAGAAAGTAGATCTTTTTGGGGGGAAGAGATTTAGAGTTCACTGATCCCCTTTTAAAACATTTTACTTTTTCTTTAAAATGTTACACATCAGCACTAGCTTCAGAACACTTCATTTTAGCAAATTCTTTGTATGAGTAGTCAGCTCCATACAACATTGGGACTTTTTATTTGTTGATGAAGTAGAGCTGATAATATCAACGAGCCAACATACACAAATGATTCTTTTCTTTGTGGCAACAAGTTTCCGCGGTGCTTCTTCTCTACCTTGAGCCTTACCAAGTTTTCTTGGCTGAAAGCATGTTCAAGCTTTTACAAAAGTCTATTTTCTCTTTCCTAAAATTTTATCCTTGTTTTTATGAGACGATGTTGATTGAACTTGTGATCTAGATCATCTTATCTTGATGACATATAAACACACAGATATATAGAGGCCTCTACAAGAGAATAGACCCCGGATATGGGAAGAAAAAGAAAAACAACTGAAAATGGGAATATGAGCGGTGTTGGACTGATTTAGAAGAGATAGGAGATTTGTAGTTGCATGTTAGTGGCAGATGTTGGACTGATGTAACTTGTACCATGTACCTTTTTAATAAAATCTTTATCAAAAAAAAAAAGGGGAACATGAGCGGTGTAAGCTTTTGATCGGAATTCTCAGCATTTAAACTGTTCCACATCGCAATCCAGCCTCATACTGACCAGTTCATGTTCTTCAGTGATCTTTTATAATGAGTTGAAAGTTGGAATTTTAACTCTTTGGCAAAGTGGAATAGGAACAAATGAGTTTGAACACTGAATGAAAAATTCAGTTCTTCCATGTTGTAATATGCATCAGGCAGAATTGATGAGGTCAAAAAGGACAGGATACGTATCGTTAAACCACTGGTTGGTTCATAGGCTCTTTCATTATAACCGAGCAATTGAATATCTCATCATTCACTCCCCAGAATATTTCTGAAATGCTATTATAGTGTCAGTCAAATATTGTTATATATCTATCCTCCATCATAATGTTTACTTGAGGTCTATTTTGCAGCTTGGGTCCGCAGAGCTTTTCATGCAGGAGTCTAAGTTTTTAATTTATGGGAATGGTAAAGAGAAGCCTCCTACTGGCTTCATGTTTGAGAAGGAGCAGATGCATGGACTATATTTCAATCAATCTCCTGCAAAGGTACTTCCATTATACAATCAGCAGAAGTTCTTACCGTGCTAATTTGTCATTCCTAGTGCGCTGCAAATGCATGTGGTTTCTAGTGTGTTAAGCTATGGCTTAGTACTTGAAAAATGCAGATGCATCAGCTAGCTAATTCATCTTCTCCGCTCACCTTTCCCTTTCTTTGCAAGGGACTGGGAGCGAGAGTGGCAGTAGGACAGGATATTTCTGGTGATGGCATAAGCATTTCTGGGGTCAAAGACATTAAAGCAACTCCATGTCAAAAGAATAAAAGAAAAATGAAAGTAATAGAAGCACTTCCAACATTCAGTGATGGTGAAGTAGTCCTTCCATCCCGAATGTTTGCCCCAGATTCAGACGTCCAAGGATCAAATCAGGATTTGGCTTTAGGACTAAGTTCAAAAATAATTGTAGGGTGAAAGATAAAAGTAATAAACTAACACAGAAAGGTAATGGATTTATAAATTTCGAAAGTTGCATCATCTATTTGAAGATGCCCTTGGCTGAATTTCAATTTGGTTTTTGAGTAGTAAAAATGGAGAAAACATTTTGGATCAAGGGGGTACATAATTTTTATCCCATGCCTACAACAACAATAACAACGACGACCCAGTAAAATCCCACAAGTGGGGTCTGGGGAGGGTAGTGTATACGCAGACCTTACCCCTACCCGACTTTTATCCCATGCCTATTTCACAAAAAATATATTAGAGTGTGTTCTCGTTGTTCTGAATTGTATGACAATGTTGGTTTATGCTTGTTGAGCTAAGCAGTTCCAATAGGAAGTAATGTTTCCAAGGAAGTATATAGCTACTTCCAAAGCGACTTATCTGAGAGTGAGTGAGATTTTGTTTTTGCGCTGGTTTCAAGCACAATATCATAGAAGGGATACTAAAAAAGCACCTACAAGAGTATATAGTAAGCATTACAAAAAAGAGGAAATAGCTTTGTGTCTGCTGAAGATATGCTTAGATAACTGAAATTTTCAATTCTGGTCGCTTGTGATAAAACTATAGAGAAGTGGAACATAATCTCCTTTCTGATTGCTGACTTAATCTTCCCAGAGTCAAATAACACGTAATTTTGGAAGCAAAATTATTATGAAGAAAGACCTGGAAAGTATTTGATGTTTCTTCAGATGTTTATGGTGCTGTCATTTTCTGTAGGATGTTGCTTTGGCAATGGTTTCGATGAGACCAATTCCTCTTGGTCCAATAATGGAGAAGCTATCGTTGACACCTGAAAAATATGGAACAAGTCGTAGATTTTATGTCCAGACATTGGATGATCATGCTCTTTCACCTGATGTCCAAGAAAAACTTGTGAGGGAAAACCCTCCTGAAGGTGTCTTCAAGATCAAAGGCAGTGACCATTGTCCATTCTTTTCCAAGCCACAGTCGCTGCATAAAATTTTGGTCGAAATTGCTCAGATTCCATAGTAATGTACATAAGAGGAGATCTTTTACTTCTTAAGGAAAATAGCTTTTGTTGGTTCTTTTAGCGGCTGTACAATCTGTTCCATGAGGCTTTTGGTTGTATAGAAGAAATTTAGTTAGGTTGTCATGTTCCATATCCAGTTTCATACTCAATTAGTTTCATTTATTTCTTTTAAAGAATGAAATACATTTGGTTATAGTTATCCAACTTGTAATTTTCTTCTATTATTAGTTGCTCTATTAACACAGGTGACAATGTCAACTGACACTAATCATTCTGTTGTCATAATTAACCGATGATTGACTAACATTGTAATCATTGGTTCTGGTCTTTATGTTAAAGATCATGCTGACTTTGGCTTGCAGTTCTAAACTCTCCTGCTATTATGTGATCACTGAGTTTCTAAAGATAGTGATGTAAAGTCTGTTATTGAGTTTTTTCAAGAAAATGCTATAGAGGGTGCAAATTGATTCAGAATGAGGAATTAGATGAGGCTCAAGGGACCAAAAGCTTCTTTTTGAATTTGGACACTTCAATTGAAAAGATTTAGGAAGCAACTTTAAAATGCAGAGCATTCCCATCGTATCCTACTACAAACAAAAAAACCATTTATTAACCAACATATCAGCCATCTCTGAATTACAAAAAGTCATGGGATAAACTGAGTGAGTTACTCACTACACAACTTAGGAGAAAAACCATTTATATCCAATAAAATAAGCAACCTTGGTCTTTGCAGAATGGAGTTGAATTGACTGTGTAATGGATTTAAAATTGATTAACATAGCACTACATTGTGTTTTCCCTGTTGGACATGAAATAGCTGAACTGATTATAGAGCATGAATGCCATGAATTAGAACGAAAAGTAGAGAGGAAACTGGAATTATTTGAATGAATCGGAAGCAAATGCAGAGGTAAGTTTAACACCATATAAGCAATTGAGATCACTGTTTCTTATACTCCTTTAACATTTGTTAATGTAGATGAAACACTTAAAAGCGGATCAAGACAAAAGAAAGCTAAGTAGCAGTTGGCCTTCATTAAAAAACTAAAACGAATACAATCATATACATTCATAAATGCTGAATCATGCATCTACTAGAATAAAGATTTACGGAGCTAGCTAGTTGAAATGCTTCGTTTGGCTCTATCATCGTAATCTGTATCTTCCAATTCCATCCTAGACAACCAATATAACTGGTCTTCATGTTCCTTCTCAAAAGTAGCCACTTCTGAATAGTGGACTGAAGTATCAGATACCGACTGATCAACATTGAACATGGCCGTGGCTTCAACAGGATAAGTGGCCTCTGTAGGTTCCGCTGTTACTGCTAATAGCTCGGCAATATTCACCTCTACATTAACCTCGGGCACAACATCTAATATCGGATTTGGTTCGTCGAATTCCTTTCCATCCCATTGATACAAGTCATCAGGCACTTGTAATTCCACAGCCTGATGTGATTCTTGAAAAGCCATAGTTGCAGAGTCAAAAGTGTTCCAAATTTATTTGAGAATATTCAATATGTGCTGAATTGCTGCTCATATCTGGCATCGAAGAATCCATTATATCCCATTCATTCAAGCCAAGCACATCTTCGGGCACTGACTGATCAAAGCTCATCAAATTCATTCGAGACATATAAGTAACTTCAGAATATTCAACATGTGCTGAATGGCTGCTCATATCTGGCATCGAAGGATCCAAATTGAGCATGCCCGTGTCTTCAACAGAATGTTGCCCACAAGTATAAGCAGCCTCTGTAGGTTCAACTACTGCTGCTAATGGCTCAACAATATTCGCCTCTACATCAACCTCGGGCACATCATCTAATATCTGATTTAATTTGTCCAATTCCTTTCCATCCCGTTGATACAAATCATCAGTCACATCTAATTCAGGCGCCTCAAAAGTAGTCCCTTCAGCTGGTTCGTCCACTATTTGTAATGGTTCATCAACACTATTATTCATCACTTGAAAAGCTATCGTTTCAGAGTGTTCCAAATTCTTGCACATATTATAATAATCCTTGCAATTATTAGTAGCCAACAAGTCATCAACAGAACTCGTTACCTCATCAGAATCATTATTCAACGTCGTGATTGTGGAAGTTTCAGATGAACTGTTAACGTGCTTCAGCTTCTTGATGGCGCAAAGAACATAATCTCTACAGTCTTGGCCGAACTTGTGAAGAATAACCTTAGAAAGCTCCTACTTCTTCATGAGCCAATGTCCATCTTTCTGATCTTCAGGGTAAAACTCTTTATTCTTGTAAGACAAATTTGTCTTGTATCCAATATTAACCACTGACGATGCGTTTCCCATATTTTTGTAGTGAACTGGTTTGCCCTTGTTGTCCTGTTTCCAAGTTCCCTTGTTTCCGACAGCACGATGATACCTCGCCTTGCTTTTCTTCTTCAGCTTTGTGATAAGTAGCGATAACTACTGATGTCCTCATCATCACCACAGGGTACTCCGTTGTCGTATATCTCCCAAGGTTCTTGTTTGCCATAGACATCAACGTTAGTGGTAATAAATCCAGTATCATGCATCTCTTGTCCAACGACGAATCTCAACAAGAACATAAGTCCTTCTGAATCGATGGGACGGAAACGGAAACCCTCTTGACCAAGTTGTTGTAACTGCTCCACGAATCTCAACAAGAACGTAACTTTGTTCTGAATATTTTACCTTACAACCTTTGAATGGCAATGAAACAGAACAAGAATGAAAAGAACGTACTGTAATAACTTGAAGAGAGAGAATGAAGTTTGAGAGTATTACTTTGAATTTATAGTTTGAAGTACCTTCATTTAGGAAATTATTACATAGGAAACAATTAAGTAGGGGTTACGTTGGTTAATTATTACTTAGGCAACAAGTAGGGCTTACGTTAGCTAATTACTTATGGAAACTATTCTTTTCCCAATCATATATGGAAAACTTCTGTTTGGCCCTAGTTGTACATATGTATTCTTTTCGATGATTAAAGATAGTTATTACTCTAATTTTCAACATTTATATGTACTTTCTTTGTAATATAAAGAGACAATGCCAAATCATTATGCGCTAATTAGATTAATTTTTTGAAAATTTATAAATTTAAAATGTTAATAAGGAAATAGTAGTAAAGAAAATTCCACTTAATTCCAACTCTATCTTTCTTTATACTATAAGCTAATTTAAAGTATTTGGTGTTTGGAACTTTTTGCCCACTCAAATAAGCTATCCATGGCCCTAGCTACCCAACCCTACCTTCTAATTTCAAAGTTATCTGAAAGATAAATAAAAACTCTACGACTATGGATTAATTATAATAGAATCGAAAGTTCAATCACGCTGAGAATATAATATAATGAAAAAGGAACCTATTCTTTGATGAAACATGAATGTAGCAAATGCACTTGATCTTAGTCAATAATCAAGTAAGAAGGAACGTAAACATTGAAAGTTTGCACATTGATATTCTATTATTAAGTGAATGTAAAACATTTAAAGTTTGCGAATGCACAATCTAAAATTGTGAATAGAATTGTTTTAATGTTTCGAAGGAATCTCAAAAAATTGGAAACATGTTATATTAATTGGAACAAAGAAAGCAGTGTTTTGCTCATAAAACTGTACAGGAGCTTCCGGCAATGATCACGCCCAACTATGCCTAGGTAAAGGATTAGCGATTGTTACAAATATAATTCCATTTAATAATAAAGAGTCGAATCCCATAGGGAATTAACCTATCAATCCTAACTTAACCTATCATAAGAATTCAGCAAATCAACTCTCCAAATTATTCAAACAATAATTTTTTATTGTTTAACTAATTTATTGCAACTAAACGAAATGCAGTAAATTATCAACTTATTGAGCAAGAGTAGTAGATAAGTTTACGGAAACCTAAAGTTATGATTTCCCCAATTGTCGAAATCCTTCTCGCTATGTCAACTAAAATCTCGATCACCTAATTATCCTCTACCGATTGTGAGCACTTTACTTAGCCTGATTCTCTCTCGAGCAATCACGGTAATTTACTAGATATATTCTCTCGAACTACTCTAGCAATCTCTTATCGCTTACTTTGACCATGTTAAGCTTCGTTATCTCTAATCTTACTTTTAAACCCACCATATTGATCTCTCATATACTTAGGGATTGACATTGTTTAATAATTACCTAAATATACATTCTTTTCTCAAGCATCACATAATAAATAGGCACAGTCAATTGAGAGCTCTTCGATCAACATAATTACGCATATAATTGAACAAGTAAAGAAGTTCAAAAGGTTCTATCAAAATCTTAGATAATAGAATCAACTATTCATAATAGTCTGCATGATTACACTACTAGAATTCATCACCAATGATATAAAAAATGAAGAAAATAGATTAAACTCGTTTTTGAATCTTCCGCTATGCTCCTGGCTTGTTCTTGCGTTCTAAGGTGTTGTGTAACCCTTTAAAAATGCATCCAATTTGTATTTATACGGAATAGGGTTGATATGAGGCAACCTTGTGCTCTCTTATTTTGGACAGAAAAACTGAGTCGCGTGCCTAGGGCTCGCATGACACTAGACTCCCTGGCACACTCTCAGTTCCTTCTTTTTTTCTTTCCTCGCGTAGGAGCTGGTGCCAAGTGCTATACTTTACTGGTTGTGATTCATGTTTAAGGCCCTAGCATGCCCGCCTATCGCACGAGGTGCCAATTGTCGCACGCTCTCAGGTTTTGCTTCTCCACTTCTTTTTGCGTCAAATCATCCTATTTTCATCAACTTCCAACCAAGCTCGTTTCTACACACAAAAAACACGTAATGAGCACTTTCACAATTATAAGCATGTGATCTCCCGCAACTCACGTGCAAAACGATATGAAAACATGTTCAAAACATGCATTTTTGTCATTTATCACGGTAGCACTCATTAGCTTGTTTCTCCTTATGTAATGAAAAGATAGTTCTTTTCATCGAACTTAGTCACACTTTCACTCAATTGTTCATGTTTACAAAAAACATTATTCAACTTCTACTGGATTTTCAAAGTCAAGTAGACAAATAATGATTTGGCTGTATGTTTTTGGCGCCAAACAACTCGGCTTAGTATAGCGCGTCTCTATACAAAAAAAGAAAAAAAAAGGAGAAAAAAGAGTATGCTTCTTACATCACCCAAAGGTGACTTTATCTTGGACATGCACTGAGTTTATTATATTAG